GCTGCGCTTAAATACCACCACACAAATCAGTAGTCAAATAATTCACTAAGTAGGCTGTGCAACATATGGAAACAGCTGGAAATGGGCCAGTTAATCTCTGCATATCTACGAAATAGCTGGGTCTGGGAATGGCTTCCATTCGGTCGATTTTGGCACCACAAGCCTTCAGTAAGGAAACAGATTTGAACCGTTCGCCCTGGAAATTCGTTCGGTCGCTTAGGAAATCTAAACAACAATATCCATTGTGCCTTGGTTGACAGGCGGACCAACCTATAGGCACAACCGAGGTATGTTACTGGGACGTCGTTGGAGGCGTCCATCATACCTCATACATCACTCAAGCGTGAACATGTTCACTCGTTCAGATGTGAAAAAATTGTGCTTCCAGCGTGCGCTGAGGAGTGGTGGTGACACCCTGCTTAGCATATCATATGTAGGAGTTCATGGCCCGACACAGCCAAAGATATGCGCTGCTGGTTACCTCTAATTAGGGTGGAACTCGCGTCCAGTGCTTCCCCTATTGATGTGGACTCGCCAGTGTGCATTCTAAGATTCCGAATCCATCCACAACTTATCTAGGAGTGATGCCGCTTCTGTAGGTCAAACCAACCAATCAAACCGAAGACCAGTGCATCCATTTATTGGTAACTTTTAATGACCAACATTTAGCAGTGTTAATTTAACGGAAATCAGAGTTCAGGAAGTGTTAGAAGCGAGAAAGCGGAAGGTTGCGCTAATAGTGATATTATTTCGTTGTGTGTAATATCAGAAAAAAATTATTCTATGGTGCAATACCCATTCAACTGTCCATACTAGGAAGTCAATGAAGTTTTGTCATTGTGGCATTTTTTACCCCTTTTTCTGAAGGAGTACTTCCACATAAGAAACACAACACCATAGGTTCTCGATTCCATGACGGTGAACAGGTGACAAATAACGGGAGGTAGGAACCAGGGCAACTACTCTAAGGAAGAGACACCGGCCATTCACCATTTACTAAGAGACGTAAAACGTCGAAACTTCATTGCCGACAGTAGAGGCTGTTAATAAACTTAACTATCCACTGTAATTCCTAGGTCAGTGCCTATGTGTGCTATTGATTATGAGACCTTAATTTTGTATGATAGCCAGGTTGATGGGCGAGGAGTACTTCTCCAAATCATGACCGTATGCGTAGTCACCGAAACATCCCAATTAAATTTAGATAAGACTACATTTGGCGAGTAATCTCGGTTTATTAACTTGAGAAATCTAATCAAATATGATTCCTGGTCACTCCTCTGCTTACTTTCTTGGAACTGCCTTCCACATTGATATGTAGCGGACCAAGACCTTATCAGTGTGTTCGGATAAAATAACAAGCAAAGTAACCAATACAAAATCACAAAATCACAATAAGAAAAGGATCAATAGTCAAATGGGGACTCACGAATGTGTAGATCCAATGGTCCACTACACCGATCCAAATGCAGTAACTGGCTGTGAAAGGAAATATTCACTTGTCGAAAGTTCCCACAGATGGTTCCGCGTGAATGATATATTCC